ATCAAGTATTACTGCTGTAAGAGGGAGGAGTCTGAGAAGGGGGAAGAGGAGGAACCAGACCTCGCCACCATGTCGCCGACCCGCCCCCTGGCTCTGTCTGCTCCCCCTACGCCTCCAACGCCGGAGCACTATGGCGACGATCCAGAGAACTACCCCCCCACCTTCCTCACTGAGGCCAACGGGCCTGCCAGCTTCTCCCCCACACCACCCCCGCGCAGGTGCCAGCGCTCACATGCCTTTTGCCCGTCCTGCGCCCGCTGCTCGCTGCCCTTCTACCTGCAGCACCCGGAAAGGCTGTGCAACGGCGGCCGCAGGGTCAGCTACAGGACTGTGCAGCAGCAGGACCTGGAGTTGCCCATGGACCTGGCCAGCTTCTACCAGAAGCTCAACCTCATCCGCTCCGTCACCATGAGGGAGGTGGTCACCCATAGTGTCAGCACTGACGTGTAGGAGCAGGCAGGGTGGAGTCAGCGCCGCCCTGCTGGCCTGGAGGAAAGGGTGATTTATACAAACTGCACTGACTCAGTACAGTCTGTAAACACACTCAATGAACATGTTCTATAGGTGCTGTGCTGGGGATGCAGCATTAATACTGTGCTGTACTGATATACTGAAACACTGAGGGCTTTTGGGAGAACACCGCTCCTGGCAGCCATGTTGGAGGTCTACCACTCCTGCTGAATGCATTTCTGTCTCTGACAGACTTAAACAGACTTTGTCAATTTTGACTTAACTGTTATGTCTGTTTTTGTGTGTAGAAAATTAGTGTTTTTTTTAATTAATTAACTAATCAATATATAAGTATCAACAATAATTGAATTACAATTTGAGCTTTTGTTAGTAAATTTAATACAGAATTTTGTTAGTTTGAAAGCACCATACTAGAGACAATGAGGCTAATGCCTTGATAGCTATCAGACAGTTTGTTCAGGATAACCAAGTCTCTTTTGAAGGATGAGTCTGGTTTAATTGTCAGCAAATCCCATGTGTGGACCAAAACCAACAATGAATGTATCCTCCTAACATATACTGTTTGTGAATCCAAAGCTTGATCTTATTACTCCCAGTGCCAAGGAGCTCTTTAGTCCAAAAACATTTAAAAACACATCAATGAGCTACACTGTTGGACTGGGTGACATGTTCCTTCATTACCACACGAAGTACAGAAGTACAGAGAGACAGGCTAACACATTATTGGTTTTGGTGTTTTGGTGGGATTTGTTGATAAGAAAGAATAAATATAGAATAAAATATATAATTTAAGCTCCAAATCAGGAGGGTTTTGGAGAAGAAAGCTAAAGCTAAAAGCTAAAGAGTCTGTTTTTTCCATTTGGAGATCAGACTGCTCACGAGAGATCCCTTTTAAGCCATTTTGACATGAATGAGTGCAGTAAACACAGGTGTTACCAGTGATACTAATCAAGATTATCTTCCATTCAGGTCAGTCAGAGTCAGGGTGCTGCTTATATGCATGTTAACTCACTGGGGAGGTTCTGCTACACTAAGTGGAACTGAACCTTAATAAGTATCATTGGTAACACCTGTGTTTACTCCAGCAAATCCCAGTTTCTAGAAATTAATTTTTTGTACCCCAGAACAGACCAGTGCTCTGCTCTAGTACTGAACGTACAGTATATATGTGTACTTTTACAGTGTACCTATAATACCACTTGACTGTGATTCATTTATGCAGTGGAAAAAGTGGATATTATATATACACAGAAAAAATATTTTTTTGTGTGTGTTTGTGTAGCAACAACTGTACAGTGTCCAACAACTGTTACATTTCACCTTTATTTCTTTCACAGTGGGATTCCTTCACTTAACACCTCGTAAGAGCCAAATAGAAGCTCCCACACACCGAGCTGCACAGGGGTTTTCACTTATTCTGCCTGATTACACCGCTTCTTGTGCAGAGACGGAGTCGTGATCTAATCAGCCAAACTAACTGAAAACACCTGCAGTTACACATAGTTGTGGGTGGCTTTTAAGGTTTCAAACTAATGCCGGATATACATGAAGCCATTTCCGCTTTTAATAATTCCTTGACATCAACAGTGAGAGCCTAGCAGGTGTCATGGGGGAGGAAAACTAATTTATGCACACAAATTATTAATTTAAGAGCATTACTTTTAAACTGAACGTACATAAATAAATTTGAAGGCACAAAGTAGTATTTTGTGCGTACACACTAGGTTTTGATTGAGGCACCTACCAAGCTCCGTGCAATATTGACTGTTCGACATCAGAAATCTCCAATATCAAGATTTTAGTTTCAGTTTTCAAGAGTTTATAATATCCTAAATTAGATTTTTAACCAGATCAAATTTAATTATTGGTGTCAAGAATTAACCAAAAATACATTATTGATACATATTCTTCTTAAAACTACTCAAATCAACTGAGAGACAATTAAATGATTTGTGTGAACAGCTAATTTGACCAAGTTGAAGGTAACATTTTCTTGTCATTAGAAATTCAGTTCTTCTACTTTTGAATTGAAACGGCATCATCCAAAATTGGAAATGTAAGTAGTTCCAATGTTACATGGAGCTCATGTTTGTGTTCACTTGTGTACATTTGTCAGCACGAGGTTGTGTCTTTTTTGTGTGTATTTGATTATTATTCAGATGCAGCTGGTGATACTGTCAGTCTGTCGGTGTGTGAATTCCTGTTTGTTTGCTGCGGTGCAGAAAACACATTGTCACTGCATTTTAAAGGGCTTTTCTGAAGCATTCAGTGATCCAGTGACTGTGATTTCCGGAAGACATATATTTCCTGTTAAAGACATCCTACTGTAGATAGATGCTGTGCTGTAGGCCAGGGTTCTAATAATATCTGAAGAGTTTTCCTCCAACATAAGGTATTGAGCTTTTAAGAAAAAACTGACAAAATAACTGATAGCTCATTTTGGTATTTCTTAGCGTTAGTACAGTTGATGGGTGTTTGGTATTTTACAAACTTCACTTCACATCAGTAGAAACAACAGCTTCACTCCAGAAGCTGCAAATAACTTTTTCCTTTACCCCAAAATGAACATTGAGATGGTATAAAATTTTTGGAGCAAATTGACTAAACTTGAGTATAATGATAAAATGTATGCTGCTAAAAATGGACATAAGATCTGTTCATTCTGATAGTGTGTTTTTTTGTGTCATGTGTGATTTGGCCTACTGTGTTTATCATGAAAGTGTGTTAAGCCTCCGGTAGCAACACGTCGTGGTTTTCTAGCACTGATCACAAGCATGTCTGATAGATAGAAGTGCAGAACTTGCAGAGACCTAAAACACCTTCGCTAGGATGAAGCAGCAGTTGGCGTGCCTGTTCTGTAAGGCTGCAAGGTTGGAGAACAGAGAGCTGGAGTGAAGTAAGAAAACTTTCAAAATTCAAATTCACCCAGACATTTGTAATGATAGAGATGACTAATATCCAGTCCTGGAACATAACCTCAGTCAACATAATGCAGCTGGAACTCTGGGGATGCTGCTTTACATGACCTCTGACCTGAACTGAGTCTTCCACGTAGTGCTTCGTCTGAGGCAGACTACTGCCCGAAAGCCTCGACCGATAATAATAATAATTGCTGTGTCCCAAATCCAGACTACACAGGTTTTTGACTCAAATGTGTTCACACTGGAAAAGTGACAACATAAATATTAATATATATAATATATATATATTAAAATCAGTCAGTGTGTTATCGAACAAAAGAAAAAAGAAAAAAAAGGCTTGAATATTGTTAATCACCATGTGGTGATTAGTTTGTAGTATGGATTTCATCTTTTTATGGCTGTGATTGCTTCTTCAATCGCTCTCAATCTCTAACCCTAACCCTAACTTCAAGTACACAAAATGATGCTGCAAAAACACTCCTTGCACATTTGAGTAAAGTAACAATTTGATGTGTACTGCACCTCTGACCCTCTGCTAGAAGAGGGATGTTTTTAGGTTACAGAGGTTTGTCTTGCATCTATAGTTGGGGTTAACGTTCACATATAGCCACAGAGGAAGGACATCCTGGGAGTCTCAACTCAGGGCAAACAAGTCTCTGCCATAGATCCATCGTGTTGATCAGTAAAGCCTCAGACATGAATCAATTCAGGGTGTTTTGGGGCATGAAGCTGCAGGTTCTTCACTTATTTTAAAGTTCCTGAGGAAGAATGAGTGCAGAACCACTTTCATTAATCAATGTTTTTTAGAGAAGACTGAAACTGTTGCATTTGTTTCCTCTCTGCTTCAGCAGTTGATGTGTTTCTATTATTCTGCACGCCAACAGATGAGAGGTTTGATGCTGTCACACTGACCAGTAGGGGGCGTCAGCTGCAAACCTGCATCTGCTGTTGCTGCTCTGTGTGTGAAAGTGACTTAATTTACAGTGTTAATAAAATGATGCCAAACTGTCCAGTATCTGTGTCTATGTCTCCTGGGAGATATCTGATACAGAGCAGCACAGCAGGGATGGTTAATTCTGGACAGATTTTGTTCTGTTTTGTTGCTTTTTTATTAGTTTTGACCATTAAGTCAGACATGTCAACTTGTTTACATCGGAAGAGGAGATTAGAGGTCACTGAAGGATACTCAGAGTTCCGTCATCAGTGTTTTTTCTGCGTTCATAGCTGTGATGCACCACCACAACCATCACTCCCAGTTTCAACAGGAGCATAAACTACAATTATTCCCCCAAACTAAAACTGCAAAGTGCAACAGTTTTCACACAGTTTAATTCATCAGTGTCATTTTAATTGTGCTTCCATTTGACAAGGACTCCCTTGACAAAGAGATTCAGATCCGAAGAGGCCATTATGATTAAATAAAGGGGAAATGAAACTATAAAATCTTTTCTTCTTTTTTCTCCTTAGAGAGAAACATGCTAGTTCAATATTCCCTGAATAAACACATCAATTCACATAAAAACGACAAGTTCATTTGAACTGTTATTTTATTGAAATACAAGTCAGTACCATTAGGTTTTCAGTTTATTATCAACAGTACACAATTTCCATACTTAGTTTTGTACAAAGAGGTATCAGTTATATAAAAACACAGTACACAATAGTTAAAAATGAGACATACATGTACACGTCTGAATACATTTCAACCATACTTCAAGTGTCAGGAATGTTTCTTTCTGTGTTTGTATTAACTCTCTGCTTCTCTGTCACACACACAGACCAGAACTGGCATCAGTTGACCCGATGAATAACCATCGGCTGGCATCAGGAGCGTCACGATAAATGAAAATGTGCTATGACTAATAAATATGCTTCCATATCCTGCAGGCGTACCGGCATGGCGCCAAGCGGCAGGGAGTGGAATGGAAATATAAACTTTTTACATGCCAGACACCAAACTGAAACACAATTAAATAATATTTCATAAACAGTATCTGTATTAAATATTCTAGTCATGCAGTATATTCCGTTGAGAAATAATTTAATACATCTTTTCACTGCAGCGATGAACACAACAAGAGCACGCTGCTAGCTGATGATGGAGGTCTGTAAGACCGTTTGAGTGTTGACTCCACTTTTTCTCCAACTCCACATGGTGTTAGAGGAAGATAAATAATCAATAACAGCTGATAATGACTGCCTTTATGGTAAAGATACAGTTTGATGAGAATCTTTTTAATTTAATAATCATGTGATGGTGTGAAGGAGTGAGGGGAGGGGCAGCTGTGGGGCTCAACATGGAGTCTTGAGAAACACAGATATTTTTGGACAAGTCATTTTCTTAACTAAATGTACTGTATGTTTCCTGATTCTGTTTTGAACTGTTTCAGAGGTCTTGAGGTGAAAGGCTGCTGTGGGTACTCAAGGCACATACACACTGTGCTGGTTAATATCTGAGAAATCCTCTCCACACAAGACAAACTAATCCAAACTTGAGTAGTCTTCTCAAAATAAAAATAGTTTCTCGTCCAGTTCTTTCTCTATTTATTCCAAATAAACCAGACACACATTACAGTCTGTGTTTGGAAAATGAAACTGATATGAAATAAGAAAAAGAGCAAATGGAGAATAAGTGTTTACATTTTATGTACGAATGTTGCTGTTGATGTTATCAACAGGACTGACAAAATGTTTTTGTCTGATATCAAGATGACCCGATTTAATTTACCTAGTCTTTTATTTAAAGAACCGATCTAAATCCAAGTTATTGGAGGAAGCTTTATTGAAAAAGGTAGGAGCTTCCATCTCTGACTTTCAGCTTCCTCTCTGTTCAGAGAAACTGCAGTACCACATGTACATAAATGTACCCATTTCTTTCCTCATGCTGGAGTTAAGAGTCGACGTGGAGAGAAGCCGTGCTGTCCTGGACTAGGAGATTGGAGGTCGTACGGTGCGGCAGGAGTGGCAGCAGGCCTTGCTGTAGTACCAGTGGCTGCACAGGTTGACCTTCAGTGCCAGCAGGCAGTTGGTGGAGGGACGATCCTGGCAGCTCTCATCTGGGACACAGTTCACACATGGTGACGTTCGTTTCAAAACTGTTTAATCTAATCATCAGCTTACGTTGCTGTTTCTAAAACAAAACCCTGTTTAATTTATCAAACGTCATCAATTTTAAAGGGAAATTACAGTGCTTCAATCATGGGTCTTTCAGCCAGGTTTTATAGTTGTCCATCTTGCACTTTCTGACAGAGCAGATACAATATCAGTCTACATAGGCAAAGTAACGGCTCATATTTCACTTGCACTACATGAGAGTAAACGCAACCCAGAAGCACATTTTTACACTTCAGGTCTATTTTCTTTGTTTTTATGCATGTAACTACAGCAATCAACCTGCATTCTACAACCTACAGTCTTGTGTAGACACGGTGGTCTCGTAATGGCGGCCATTCTGGCTACGGGTCTTGCTAGCTTTGCACTGTAGAGATTTGGGCAAACATGACTCCAGTAAAACAACGTATGTCAGGGAAAGCAACACAAGTCTGCTCAAGATTTCCGAATAAATTAAAATCTTAAATAAATCCCTGGGTCCAGATAAAAGTAAATTAGCTTCCTGAATTAGTAGCTAACTGCATAGAGACCTACTTCCAGTGTGTGTGTGTGTGTGTGTGTGTGTGTGTGTATAAGCTTCTGTAGGCAGAACAGTATGTTTCCTGAGGTGTTACCTGGCGGCTCAGTGGGGCAGGGTTGCAGGGTGCAGGTCTGTTTGGCCACTGGTTTGGTGAGGGGGTCGCAGCCTCGGACCAGCTCTCTGCCCTGGTAACACTTCACGTCTCTCATCCTCACACCCACACCACACGTCTTAGTGCACTGAGAACACACAGGAGCAGAAACACACCACGTTACACACCACTGATGAACTGGAGGATGTCTTACTGGTGCAGAGACATTTTACATGTCTGTCCTACATTCAGACTGAATAAAACATAATGAAGACATGTTTGTGATTTTTTAAAATTTTTTCACTACATATTGGAATTTGTGAAAATTGATTATTAATGACCAAAAAACTAAATTATTTGCCAATCAAACATGATCCTTGACACTACTCTTCTGTGCAGGCATTACACATCAACAGTGTGGTGCAGAAGTGGTGTGACTGGGACTGAATGTGGTTGAAAAATGAGTTTATATCAAAGTGGAAAGATTGAGGAAGATTGAAGTTTTCAGCTGGAAAATATTCTTTGTTATCATTGAACACACCTCTTCTTCTTCGTCTTCTTTGGACATATTTACACTTAAAAGCATGGTGTAAATATTTCTGAATCCAAATAAATTTGCCTAATTTAGTATGGGAAAATGTCCATTTAGCTCTAAACAGCCTCTGTTGTATATTAAAGTAGAAATATGAAATATGAAAAAAAAAAAAAAAAAAAATAATATATACTATCTATATATATATATGTAGTGTATATCTGGTCCCAACAAATACATTGTAGGATCAGAGGGCCCCCCCTCATCCTGTAGGGAAACCCATGATGATCCATTCATATCATAAGCGTGCGGACTGTGTTGACCTCACCTCAGACCAGGGGGTGGTGTACCATTTGAAGCATGGCCTCTCAAAGCAGGTGTTTTCCTCTTCAGGCTTCTCGTTGCCTCCACATGCCTCATCATCAAAGATCTGGAACTTTCCTCCACTGATGCCGGCACACAAGACGGTCCTTTGCTTCATGCCACGCCCACAAGTTGTGTTACACTACAGGCAAAAACAGCAGAGGTGGTAGAAGTACACACATTCTTTAAAGTAAAAGTACAGATACTACTTCTTTACTCAAGTAAAAGTAAAAAGTATCTTGGTTTCTCTGAAGGACATTTGTACAGGCTGTTTCTGTGCAAAGCTAACTGAAACTTCAAATAGGGCAGAGTCTCCCTCTCTTGTCGGTTTCGTCTTTTACGTTCTTGTCTCTGTCATGTCTGTCATGCGTGACATCCAGTGGAAAAGTATAACCTAACTGAAACCATGGTCAAGTCTAAAAATGATGATTCTTTATTATCATTCTTGACACATTTCTTTAAAAATAATCAATTGTCCAAATTTTTGTTAACTTTATGTAAATCAGCAAATCAGTTAATCTATCAGTTATCAGGTTTACTAATAGATAGCTCAATCTTAATTTCGACACTGTGACGAGGCCTCACCCTCTCCCAGTCTTGGCTCAGCCAGTGTGGAGCACAGTCTCTCTCCCCACAGGGGTGGATGGCCAGTGGCTTGTTTTCCACAGAGCACTGGTTCTCAGGAACCACGCGACCCTCCGGAGCCTTACAGTACACATGACGCACCATCTTCCCCTGGCCGCATGCCCCCGAGCACTGCAATAACAAGGGTCAAATGTCAAAACTGGATGATTCATAATCAAAAGGAGGCATTTCAGTTCTCATTGAGTCACGAAGCTCACAGACAAACGCTGCTTGTCAGATGAAGTTAGTTCAGGTCGCCTCACTTCATATTAAATAAATAGGAAGCATCACCTGCGATGAAATGGCATCATGTCACACCGTGTCAGAGGAAGGGAAAAATGAGATTATGTCGCATCACATGGGATAAAATATCACATTAATTTAAAATAACATCACAGGAAGTCTGATCATTCCACTTTGCTATCACATGTTACCAGAGTTGATTATTTACTGTAGTTAAAGCATCTGTTCATGTTCTGTGCATTATGCAGAGTGACTGGACACACTCTTATTTATCTTTTTAGGCAGAGGAAGAAAAAGTGCTTTTTATAGCAGCATTAAGCCGTTAGTACTGAAAAGCTTGAAGCACCCAAAATGTTGTTTTGGAATCAGTGGATTTGTGGTTACCACAAACTAGATTCCATTCACCTCCATTGAATTGTGTCATCAAAAAACCCTCACAACCTGAAACCAAACTGCATGGATAGGTGTCTGCATGTATTTGAGTACATAAAAAATGCAAGGGGTACATGTGCTCACAGTTGTTAATCTTCTAAATAATAATAAATATTACCGACTTAACATTTGCTCTTACAGTGGGGAATAATATATAACTTTGAGGAAAAGAAAATTGCACATCGGTCCATGTTTGTGCCTGGTTGCACACCATGGTTGTAAATTAGACCTGCGAGTTTCCAGACTTTGACTTTGAATGGAACATTAGGAACTACATTTGTCCGTGCAACACAAAAAAACCCCATAAATTCACACTGTGGCACTTAACAGTTTTTCTGCTGAAGTGAAAACACCTGGAACAGACGAGCTGTTTTTTTTTTACACTATTAAGCCCTAAAACCTTTTTTTCTATTGAAAGCAGCAGCCACTTTACCCTGATATCAGATAATGGTGATAAAATAAAAAAACATGCATACATAAAGTAATTTATTGTCACTCATGTATGCTGACGTGCAGTGCATTATATATGGAGAGTAAAGTCACTCACAGGCCCCCACTCAGACACGGTCCAGTGACGCTCGCAGGGTGGACCGGTGCAGTTTTTGATGTTTGGTGGTTTAGTCATGGGGTCACATGGTCTGGTCTCATCTGAGCAGCGGACATCACGGGTCACTTGGGCTTTGCGGCCACATTTAGCAGGACACTGGACCAAGTAGAGCCACACAGAGACACATTCAAGTTTATTATAACCAACACAGTAAATACTTTGTCAGGTAGCATTAACGCAACAGTGTTAGATGCCTATCAGAAGGTCCCTGTCCCACTGGAAGACTATCAGACTGAGTACAATATGGCTGCTGATCAGGAGCTCTTGAGTAAGACACATGAAGTGATGTCAAGCTGCTCCAGTTGATCTTATTTGGATCACTTTGTAAAGTTTTACTTTTAAAGAGATATGGGGATAATGAATAACTTTTTTTTTAAAGATAGATCGATTATTGTCCCCAACATGAATGCCCATAATGCTCCACAGAGTGTGCATTATGGGTGCGTCCAAAACAAAGATATATTTACATAGTACAACATACATTTATATTAACATAAAAATTGGTTACATAATAAATGTTTACTACTTATATTTTAACACAAGTGACCCTTGACGTTTAGTCACAAAGGAAATAGTGAAACAAGCAATAAAACATCAAATTTACTAAAAATATGAATGATTATTGAGCTTTAAATTTCACATTTTTTTCTGTGTTTTTCAAACTCCAAAATCAAATCACATATAGGTTTTTTTTCTGGTGTCTGGTATGCGTCTCTGGAGAATCCATCAGTGGCCACAATCAGACCACAGGACAGCTGCTAAACCTGAACCTGACAACAGCAAGAGAGAGAGGTTTGCGCTACAAGAAAAAGTTCCTCTGAGGTTTGTTACAAAATAAAACAAAAAAATATCTAAAGGTAAGCAGCGGGTGACAAAAAAGTACATTGAGTTACAAAAAGGAGATGAATGTGTAGTACTATAACAATGTGAAACACACACTGCCTCTCTGTTCACTGTTAGACATCTCATACCTCGGTCCACTCTGCCACCTCCCACTGTGGGCCACAGGCGGGGCTCTTGCAGGGTCGTCTCTCCACAGGTCTCTCCAGGTCGGCCATGGTGCAGAGGTCACTGTAGACCGAGCTGTCCAGGCCGGGCGAGAGCATCTTCCAACAGCGAACTTGACGAAACTGGAAACCCTCCCCACAGGTCCTTGAGCACTCACTCCAGCTGCTCGCCTCCCATCTGAAAGATGAAGAGACATACTGCACAATGTCCTGTTGAGCAGTTTGGATTCATAAAAAAAAATGTACGGTGTATTCTACCTGGGCTGACATTCTCTGCCAATACAGAAGTCATGGACCGGCTCCGGTCGGGTCAGAGCATCACAGTACATATCGTGCACCTCCACGCCATCATAACGAATACATGTTACAAAGGACTTTGATACTCCTGGATTGTGAGCAAGAAACAATAAGCTGAAGGGAGACAATCTTAATTATATAGCACATTTTAAACAAAAGAAAAAAAACCTCAATGTGCTTTATATTAAAGAAAGAAAGAACAAAAGACGTTATCATTAAAGATCCCCTCCAGACAGTATTAAGATATATATGCAAATAGTCTGATTGGAACAATCACTTATCACTCAATCAAGTGTCTTACAGTGTAAATGCACAGCAAGATGTGTGAGCATCAAACTAGTGTCAGAGAGTGTTACAGCCTCCTGGTCTGCAGTCTGTTGGGTTGAAGGTTTGATCAGATCTACATCTGATCTTAAGTGGGTGATGACAGGTAGTCAAGGATGTGAAACTTCATAATCTGACTGCTCATGGATCTTCAGTGTGTGTGTGTGTGTGTGTTTGCATGTATGTACCTATAGAGCAGGTCATGCTGCAGGGCTCCTGAGAGGACAGTTTCCAGCGGTACATGTCAGCAGCACTCAGCTTCAGGTTCTTATGGTAGTTCCTTTGATTTCCCCTACACACACACACACATATAAGGAAAGGAAAACTTAAGCAGTAGTTGTTGCAGCATATATCATTGTGTCATGCAAACATTTAGCTATATTCTTGTGAAAATAGGACTGGGACATACCGTGCAAGCAAATGGTCAGTGGAGAAGTGGATTTATACTGCAGGAGTAGTTTTTTCTATCAAAGTTTACACACTTTTTCATCATTAAAATCCTTTGATGTGAATCCAAACTGATTTCAGCTACCGTCCTCCACAAAAGAGCAAGATAGAAACATTTTAAGACTACGGATAGATTTTCAAAACATACATTTTCCGTGAAATATTCTTTCAAGGACATTTAAGGATACCCAGTTGTGCAGTTCCTGAAACACACAGGAACTGCACTCTAAGACTGTGTCCCGGGCCTCAGACAACCAAATTTTGACAGCTGATTCACAGCCTGCATCCCGGCAGACGCACTTTGTTTTTTCATCACATCACATAAAAGTCATGCACATTCTTGTCATAACACCGGTCATTCCCTCCGCCTCCGCCAGCCGCCAGACGTTTATTTGAATATCACAGCCACTTTGAGTTATACCTCGCCGGCATCCCTCCATGTTAGCCAGACTGATTCCTGCACATTATTTTCTCCCCAGAGGTGACTACAGTCTGACAGCACACGTTCCCCCTTTGCATCATATTTCTCACTTCTTTTGCAAATACCTTGAATTATTTGTTTCTAAGTGTGCCTGTATCCCCCTCCTCCCCTCTGTGCTCCTCTGGTCTGCTCGTTTCCTCTCTTCTCTCTGTCTCTCAGAGGAAAGGGCGTGTCATTGTGTGTTTTATAGCTGCTGGCTGCAGAACTGGTGAAGCCGTGTTTGGACACAGAGGAAGCCAACATGAATTATAAATATGATGAATGCAAAACCTGCCAGGTCTACCTGTCTGCCTGCCCTGCAGCCTGTATATCTACCTGTGTAACCACCTTACTGCCTGTATTTCTACCTGTCTGCCTGCCCTCGTCAGTTAACCTGTCTGCTGTATAACTACCTACTTGCTTGTAGATTTATCTGTTTACCTGCTTTACTGCCTGTCTACCTATCTAACTGCCTGTCTGTCTAACTGCTTTACTGTCTACCTGTCTTCCTCCTTCACTGCCTGTATATCAGTCAATTTACCTGCTTTACTATCTATCTGTCCACGTGCTGCTCCTGCTGTCTACCTGCTGGCGAAACACGGCCTTGTCTCTGTACATGTCTTTCTTACTTCATTACTTGCGTTTTTGCGTAGTTGTCTAACTGTCTCACTTTGCCTTTGCTACTTGGCTGCCCTACTGCTTGCTCTGCTTTATGCTCTGTCTGCCTGTTTCATTCTATGTACCTTTGCTTTTCCCACTGCCTGTCACACAGCCTGTCTCACTGCCACTTCCTCTGGCTATGTCTCTCTGAGGATGTCCACACCACCTAGCCTGCTTCTCGTACAGCCTGCAGCATATTTCCCTCAGCCAGCGGCAGACCCAGGGGCTTGACAGTGTCTGAACATTCAGGCCCGGTGTGACCAAACCTGAAAATATTGAATCCAGACTTAACACAGCCTGAGGGGAAACAGCTTTCTGTGAGCCCAAACTTGAAGTTGTGCAAAGTGGACCTCTGCTGTACACTAAGATAAAACAAATTTGAGATTTATTTGATGCTATTTTTACTTGTCTTTTGTTAGATTACCTGGTTCTGTTGGAGCGGCTGGAGGTCCTCCCACTCTGCACTGTTTTGTTGTGGTAGGAACTGTCTCCGCTGTCGTTGCGTTTGCGACCCAGAGTAAACTCCAGCGTCTCGTTCAGACCAAAAGGGCCGTCTTGCTCCAGGCTGCTCAGGTCCAGCTCTGCTGGTCCCATCTCTGATGAGAACAAACTGTCTCCCTCCGTCAGCAGCTGATTGGTTGAGATGTTGATGAGCAGCTCATCAGGGCCAATTCGGCCATCCAGCAGGACCCTCCATATGAGATTTGGGGAGTCTGGCCCCATATCCAGGGGCCCACCAGCAGGGGCAGGGTTAGCAGTGCTGCCTGTATGGCTGCTGTTTCCTTCTGATGGATCAAATTGGAAAAATTCAGCTTGGAGAGTAAATTCATACATCTTGCAATCTGTGATGTGTTTTGGTCATGTTTGCACTTAAGAGTGTTATTTTTATATTCAGTTCAGCTGTAGATGTCGGAACCTACCATAACATCAAGAAATTCATAGCCCAGACATTGATATTCCACATTTTCACACACGTTACTAAGTACAATATAATGCGATCTAATACAACAGCCCAAATGATGCTGTGTCAGATGGATTATACAAACAGGTTTATATGCATTTCAGTAACCTGAACACTGATGATGTTCTGATATCTTCAAGGTTGTGTAAAAGCATAATTCAAGACTAGCTGTTTTGGTCTTGGTGGCTCAGACAATAATTTGTTTAAACCCACACGATTTAACTTTAAATTCTAGTACAGACTATAACAACTTATATTAAGAGGGAGAATAAAATATCAGACACACCTCTCAATATCATGCAACACCACCGCTATGCCCGGCCTCCATAGAGTTTAGTGTATTTATTTATTCATTAAAGATATTTTTTTTTGGGGGGGTTATGCCTTCATTTGATAAGACAGGTGAAGACAGACAGGAAAGGGGGGAGACAGGTGAGGGGAAACATGCAGCAAAGGGCAGAGAGGACAAATGTTGGAGCGCATCGAACTAGGGCAGCTGCGGTAAGGTGCTCTACCAGGTGAGCTACCATTCGCCCAAATTCAGTGTATAGAAGGACACTAAATGTATCTTGTGGAAATGTGTGCTAGTCTGCACTTTTTATATAAATAAAATTTATATAAAATTGAAACAAAAACAGAAAAGGAAGGTGAGAAGGTAAACTCAGTTTAAACTGCTTCAGTCAGCGGCCAGTATCTGTTCCGTAGTATGATGTCAGGCTGTGTAGAAAGTATGGTGAGCCTTTCAACCACCTCTCCATCTCATCTCACTACCCAAAGCGGTGGTGTAATGGACTCGGCAGTCAGCTGAGCGAGCTGAGAGCCTGCAGGAAGGCCATTAATGCCTCATGTTTGTGATGCAGCCATTTTAAAAAGGAGAAAACACCATGAAACTCTGAATTTTTCATCTGCCGCTGATCCTCTTTATGTGTCTGTACCATGAATAATGCAGAATTCCAAAGGGCCATCTCACAGATACACAGAAAAAGAGAGCTAGATAGAAGATCGGCTGTAAAATCTGACCTATTTTGTCTCATCTGCAATGGACCACTGAACTACCTGATTTATTCTCTTTCTTAGTTTCTCTTCCTATCTGTTTTTTCCCTTTCTTACACATTCTCCATCTCTCCTTTTCTGTCTCTTAGAGCCCAGCCAATATGTTTTATTATTATCTTATAACAGATATATTGGTATTGGCATATATGTCTCCTGATAGGTAACAATAAATTACAGCATAAAAATGCAAAAGATAAACTGACCGTCCCCACTTTCTCACTGTTACCACAGACTCAGTTGCTCAGAGGAACTGCTACACTTGCTTACAGTTTATAATCATTGTGTGTATTATTATTATATTAGTGCTACATTGTTACTCGGTACCTGGTTGTGTTAAACACCAAAGCAATGACATCATATTACTACAGGTGTCACCAGAGTCAATGAAAACAACAAATCTCAGATCACTTTAGTTTTCAAAGTGGAAGGCGACAGTGAATAGAAATGAAAAAATATTACATTAGTTATCAAAAGATATCAAATATAATATCCCAAATGTGTGTGATTTGGTTGGAGAGGTAGCTCAGAGATACAGTAGTTTTGGGGTGTTTTTTGCCACTTTCCAAGAGTAAGAAACAAATATATGCCTTAGGACAGACCTTTCTAACAGCAATGTATCTTTGTTCAATTGCTGAGTGTCTGTGGGATCAATTACCATAATCATGATCCAAAAGGCATTCAGGAAGTGAGCAAAACTAAGCAAGTAAACTAAGAGGGATTTTTCCAAGCTTGTCTGAGGGGAGGCCCACAGTCTCTAAACCCCTGCTTTAGCACGTGCATCACACTGCCCATAAAATGTAAAAGGTCTCAAAGTAACTTCAGAGGAACATTCTCTCAGTTCAGCTTCTCCAAAGTGATGATTGTAAATAAAATATCTTTGGGTTTTGGGCTGCTGGTTGATCAAAATAAGCGTCACCTTGAAACTGTGATAGGCATTAAATGATGAATCGATTAATAATAATAAAAGATTTTAACCACAAATATTTCATACATCACAAACAGTTCCAATGTCACAGATAGTCCCTACCTGAATATTTTGGGTCAGCTGCTCCATCCTGGTCACAGTCTATGGCCGCTGTTTCCTCGTACACCTCATTGGTCTCTTGGCCCTTCTGTCCCTCGGCACCTCCTGGTTCCAACTGGCCCTCAGGACCCGCCTGGTTGTATACACTGTTGTTAGGGGAAAGCAGACCCCCCACCTCCACAGAAACCTCCCCGGCTGAGGTGTCTGAGCCTGTGTAGACGGGAGGAGGTGGGACGGGTGGAAGGGAGTCTCGGAGGACGGTGTATTCGTATGTGATGTACGGTGTGCGACCGTTCTGGTTCCACACCTGAGTGACGAGAAAGAAGTGGGTCATGTCAAGGTCAGGTGTTTCAGGCCAGTAAGAAGGAGAGTTAAAAACAAACCAGGACCAAATCCACTCAAACTATTTTCACATTAAGACCTTTGCACACCATGACTGTTATTTTGTCCATGTTTAATTGTCATCCCTTATAACTGGTTTCCGAACTTCAATTGAAATTTTCTTAAAAACTTAAGATAGAGAAATGTGAGCATACGTTGTATGAAGGTGATGTTTCCCCATGGACAATGAGCAATGTAGCCACAGAACTTGCAGGATGTATTGCAGGGTAGTTACAAGTAGTTTTATACTGTGCTTGACTTGCCACACACACTATCAGCTCTAACAGGTGTGAGTCTGCCACAGCTTTACAAATAACTGGATGTAAGATTATAATTTAGAGAAAAAATATAAAGCTTTAAAGCCAAAACCAGAATGAAGTCTGTGACATTTTACATGTTAGCCTGATTATAAAGACTAAAAAAGAGAGGGACCAGCGGAGTCACAATGAATGTCCAGGAGGATCTCTGTGTTCCAACAGCCTGCAGGGAGATCTATCAAACCTGGCCTGTGACATGGACACTCTTTGGGATTTATGGCCACTGTCAGAACACAAGGCCTGTACTCAATCAGCCTGAGACACAGACTCATTATTACGTCTGCATGACATTTACATCATAGACATTTGGCAGACACTCTTAAAAAGGAGACGATACACACATTGCTACGCTGCAACAGTATCACCACTTCAATCACACATGAGCATCTTGCTGCCAGGAAATATTCTGAATAGACTCTGTTCTCCTTGCTTTTTGTTGCTGCAAGTGTTGGCAGGCTCCATTGCTACCCCAAAAAACAAAATGCTTCATAAGTAAACAATCTTAATCATTATGTTCAAGAGTTAATAACAGTATGGCCTAGAGCTTAAATCTTGGGCTTCTTATTTCAGAATTAGCTAACGGCTGAGGCCAAAACAACAAATGTTCCTTTGTTTCTGTAGTTTAAAGGCTTTTAGAGAACCTTAGTTGAATATTACAGTGTAATTATGAAGTAGGTAGACTCTTCTTAACAGGGAAAAAAGTACACTAAACAAAGTAGATGGGGAACGTCAATATGAGTGTGGAGGAGGAGTTGAAGTGAGAGAGGTGGATGGAGGAGGGCTGGGTGTACCAGAATGTTGATGGCCTGGTCGATGGGGCCTTTGGCGACAATGTACTCGATCCCGGTCTCGTAGACATCCATGGGCCGACGGTACTTGAAAACGGTTCCTGCTGCGTGAAAATTCTGGGGACTGTCAACCTTGTAGGCCCCGTTAAAGAAGAAGTTGCCCGCTTGGTCAGTCACAGCTGGAGAAGAAGATAAATTGAAAAATCTGAGAGGTACAAAACCCATTGAAAATCAGTGAACTCCAGATTGAGTCAGAAAAAGCCAAAGGCCTGCATTGTCTCCATCAAGTTAAAATTAGACATTAGTGTGTGTGTGTGTGTGCCTGGTGGCTAGTGTTGTGCTGGTGTGTCGTGCGTGATGTGCTGTAGTGTGTGTGTTACCGTGTGACTGTCTCTCACAGTGCAAATCAAGGAACAAATACAAAGAGTTACGTGTATGAGGAGCAGGGAAAGTGGAAGTACCCACCTAGAACATCGGCCGACTTCTTTCTCTCAATGATCTGGATGTCCCATGATCCTTCAGGGATTTGAGTGATAAAAGAGTAACCTTGACAACAGGAAAAAGAAAGTAGTCAGTGTCACCTCATGCGTTTTTATGTACCCTTGTTTATTTAACCAAGAAGAATGTACTGACCAGTCCTAATGACTTTAATCAGTTCAATTTCTCACTGAATCTTAGTGAGAGGACAGAAAAATTCCTATCCTATATTAATTAGTTATATCTAGTAATAAAAAACATTTCTGTTCATCCAGCAAGGGAAAACTGGACACGAGGCTCACCCAGTGTCATGGCCCCACGGCGGAAGTTTCCAGTGACTCTGCTGCAACTGCTGCCGTCCCCCTGGCAGACCCCACACTTATCCAAGGTGTTGGAGGAAAACAGTACTCCGTCACATCCGATTGGCTGTGCAGCAAAGCAGGAAGTGGAAGAAGAGAGAATAACATTAAAAAAAAATCTGTAAATCATAAATAAATTTAAATAACATGCTAGTGATGCAGAAGTTATCAAATATTTTGTGTCATGAGGTTACATTATTTCGAAGTTGATCAAAAAAGAGTCTGACATGAAATGAATCATTTAAAAAAATATGTGTAGAGGATGAGTACTACTGTATGTGACTTCTGCCTCATTTCTCTCTGTGATGCATTCATTTTATTGTTTTGATTTATTCATGTTTACTGTCTACATGTTGTGTATTTATGTTACATTTTTTTGGCCACAGTCATGAATCAACTTTAATGTCAAAAGTCACAGTACATGCAGTAAGTTGCCTCCATCCTAAAAAAAAACCCAACTAAAAATAATTAACAAAATAATTCTAAAATAGATAAAATGTTAGCAGCACAAGGCAAACAAACAACTGTTTCATTTCTAAATGCGTTTCCTCCCTCTGTTTCATCCTCATCACACTGTAGCTCTAAAAGGAACATGACTAACCTTATGTGTAAAAATAGTTTGGATGGAGCTTAACAAGGCTACTGCCTATTAAATTAAGGGTCTATCTGTCTTTTTGGTTGGGGAGGGTTGATGCCACTTTTCGGCCAGTGTGTAACTTTCTGGATACACTCAGTTGATTTTATGAAGAAAGTTGCAATGCTACCGTAGCAGCTACCTCCCTGTGGGTCTGTCGGTCATACAAACTTGGTGTGGTGCTCTCAGTGGTGCTGAAAACTGAGAGTGGAGTTAAACTGTTTAAAGGGAAAGTAAAACAGAGACAAAGTAAAGAAGCTGCTGGACTCACCTCACACTTACCATCCACGCAGACACCAAGGTAACTGCTGTACTTGCAGGAAGTGCCGTCTCGCGCCATCACCATCAGCTGCCTCTGGCCATCAGTTGTGGTGCAGTGGAGGTCACAGGGGTTGCTGGAGATGTGAACGTAGTCGTCTGGAGAGGCACACAGGTCAAAGGTCGTCAAAGTCCAAGTCCATATAATATAATAATAATATCTAAGTAAGTAAATAAGTCCAATATTCACTCTCCTTTTAGCTCTGATTTGGTCTCCACCAACTCTTGAGGGAAAACTCTGGCTCTTTAGATGTTCCACTTTGATCACTAGCTAGTTGCTAACTTTGTCTGTCTGTTGTTTGGTGCTGGGCAGGTGGTGCACAGAGGGTTTTTAGAGGGGCTGTGGCTTCAGCATTGACCACTTTCCTTTGATTTATTGTTAGTCCTCTAGTCCTTGACCCTTATTGTATTGGAATTTCCCCATTGTGGGACTATTAATGGAATATCTTATCTTATTGTATCCCCCTATTCCCATTACTTGTTTCTCATTCAACCTTTTATTTTAGTAATTGCCAAAATGAAAGCGGTGAATAAATGAAAAAACATTTAGATAATAATTAGGAACAGGTTTTAAAACAACATTCTTTATCAACAGGCAGTTACATCTGAAAAGAAAATAACATAAAGCATATCAGAAGACAAAATTTGTTTGAAGATGTCATAGAAGGGATTCTACTGTTTTGGATGTAGGACAATGTTGAAGCTCAACAGTTCAGACACAAGACCTCAGTCACCTCTGGTCTGTTTAATGTGGTAAAGAGAAATTGTCAAGGCGTTTTATGGATGTTATTACCAGGATACAGAGGTTTCCACTGGTAGTTCCTCCCATTGTAAAGCTGGGAGTTGAAGGACCAGCACTGCTCCTCTCTGAAGCTCCTCCCAGTGGCAGGGCATTCCTGCAGTGCAGAGAGACAGCACAGACCATTAAAAGAGGTCTGTTTCACACTTGTTAGAACTTGGTTTTACAGTATGTTGCACAAATAAATTCTTTTTAAGCGTTTATTTGTGCAGGGATGGTTTTCTTAGAATACAGTATCATTCTGAGCTCCACCCGGCTTCACTTTCACACAGCTACATACAGTCAACCACAGTCCTCTGTCAGCCAGTCAGAGGTACTGTGTTTGTTTTAATAAAGATGTGAAATAAAGTAATGAGAAATTAACTGGAAGTCTGCGACTCACTTTAGTGTTGCAGAGATGATATTTCTTAGCAGTTCCTGTACAGGTCATGTTGTCCTTCCCAGCAGCAACTTTCTTTCTTTGGACAGAAAGCCAACATTTGGAGAAATAATAACATTAGAAAAAAAAGATTAGATATGAACCATAATGAAACATAATGAGATACCAGGTTAAAAATCATGTTGTGTGAGCTTAGAGTGCATTCACCCCAAATATACTAATCTACTAATTTGATCTATTATTATTGTCTGACTGCCAACACAGGTGTTTGTTAAGCATTTGGCTGTCAAACTCCAAACAGTATCAATTTATATTCTTGTTTTGGCTGCAATAAATAATTACTGTTTCCTCTACTAAGAAATCCTATATACCTGCATTGTAATGTGTGTGTGCAAGTAGAAAGTGCAGCTACACAAATGTGGTTGTGGATAAATGTGCGTATCCATGATTTACTGCTGGTATAACCTCTGAGTGTGTGAATGAGTACATATGTGTATGAATAATTTTATCTGTTCAGTCACATTGTAAGGACTCGCCTCCATTTGAGGACAAATAAGCTGGTCCCCATAAAATGAAGCAATTATTTCAGGGTTAAGATTTTTTTAAGGGTTTATACTTAAACCGTTTTACTTATGGTTAGAATAAGGTTTATGTTAAAGGGATAGTTAGAACATTTGGAGAAATATGCTTATTTGCTTTCCTACAAAGAGTTAGGTGAGTGGTATCAATCGTATTTTTCAAAATTGAAAAACTATTCCTTTAAGGTGTGCAATGTATGGTGCAAATGTATTATCTAATTTGGGACAACAAAAAATTTGAAACAACCTCAGGATCGCGACCAAACTGCAAATCAATTCATGTCTCACTTATTACATTGTGCAGACACTGATGTGCAAACCTAATCCCTCATGGTAACAGCAAGATGTTGTTTTTAATGTTTGCACAAAAAAAAGGAAACTTGATGAAAAAACTCCATTAGGAAAAGGAAAAAAATAAATGTATTCTAGATTTGTTACATTATGGACAACTTAATAACTTTTATCTTACAGACTTTTGCTGTTGCTCCGTATGTCAGAACTGAACTCAAGTGTGGACCTGGAAAAAACTTGATCTAGGTCCTAAAATGTATAGAAATACACATCTCTGTGTGTGTGCAGATTGACTGACCTCTGTTTGAGGCAATGTCTTTCCTGTGACATCACTCCCCCTCCACAGGTACGAGTGCAGGCTGTCCACTTGGCCCACTCCCCCCACCAGTACGTGGTCACCTCCAGCTCCTCCTCCAGACTGTTGGACGCCACGCCATCCTCCTGAAAACACACACACACACACACAAATACATATAGACACACAAGCAGTGGTAATTCAGTTGGCAGTTGTAGCAGTAGCATTAGTCACATTTACATTATTAAGACCTATGGAGAAGCGGCTGTTTGTGTTTACAGTGCATCTAAATCTGCCAACACTTTCAGACAAACCAAAACTTTTCATAGTGAATCAAATCAGATGACTTTTACTATTCCATTCATATCTTTACTTATAGCTGTGCACTTTCAATTACAATTTTGTGAGGTGGCCCCTAAATAACAAATAATTTAGTTTGAGTGACTAAGAGTAATGAATCCATCAGAATGTGGCTGCACAACCATAGCCACAAAACATCCTTGAGCTCTGAAGACGGGTTTTAAATGGGCCACAACTGGGCCACAACTTAGCCTTTCTATGACCAGGCCTGTATCTAAAAGCAGATTATATTTGATTGGTTGCATGTGGGCAATATTTGGTCCAGAATCTCAGCTCTGTCACAATCCCAATAATAGATCTTACATGTGTAAGATCTATTATTGGGGCTGGTAACTTTTTTTTTTTAATCCTTTATTTATCCGCACTGAGAGCAATGTTCTCTTTTTCATAGGAACCACTTTGGGTCCACAGTACTGTTGCTATTGGTACTTTTGCTATACTGGCCAATAAGGGCCTAAATTCAACCATATATTGGCCATGTGCCATAGTAATTATTGTAGTATGTGTGAGTAGCACAAGCAAAAGTAGCAGTATCATTAGAGGCAGCAGTAACGTTATCCATAGCATTAATGGGAGTGGTACAAAAACAGTAGTGGTGGAAGCATCCGCAGTAGGAGTCGTAATAGACATAATAGATGTAGTAAAAGTAGAATTAGTACAAGCTGTAGTGTTTGTAACAACAATATTTGGTGTAGTATAAGTCATTGCAGCATTAGTAACAGTGACAGCAATTGCAGTAATTGTAAAAGTCTTAGTAGTACTCTGATTCCAGTGTGTAAAACTGTTGCACAAATGATTGGACAGTCAGAACAGTGTGCGTCAGAAGCAAATAGAATGACAGTAAATGAGCGTCAGAGTGTTTTGTGTTGGGGCTCCAACGCGTGAAGATGGTCAGCATTTCACACATTCCTGACGTGCAGGAGCAGCATTAATTCAGACCAATGGCTGTGTCCCTTCATTCTGACAGATTCATCAGAGTGACCGCTGGAATGTGCACTGAGCTCCTTGTAAAGGTGTGAGACAGAGCAGCTGTGTGAGAGGGCGAGAGACACTGGAAATACCAGACAGACGGCGTAAGTGAGAGAGATAGAGGGAGAGATAGATGCGAGAGAGAGAGAGAGAGATACAGAAAAGAGGGCAGGATGGGAAGAGACAAGGACTGACAGATCAGTCAGACAACAACTCATCACAGTTCTCAGACCACTTTTCAAAGTTAGTCTTTACACTTTGCATGTTGTTTCTTTTCTTTTAATCTTAACCTGTTATTAATGCATTTTATATCTAAAATTGTCTGTGATTTTGTGTTTAAAATCATTTGACATAATAAAACATTAACATGTAACAGTATATGTTACATGTTAATGGACCTGCTCTCTTATTCAGCTCTGTATGTACCTTTGGTTTAACCAAAAGCGGTAAGTCCTTAAAAATGCAGCTGTTGTCAGGCAGATGGACCTGCTCTCTTATTCAGCTCTGTATGTACCTTTGGTTTAACCAAAAGCGGTAAGTCCTTAAAAATGCAGCTGTTGTTTGACATTAAAGGTGACAGTAAATATTGAAGCTGCCTTAGAATAGTGGTATCCTAAATTAAGGAATACTTTCCATTTCCGTGAAGTTACATTACTGTACCTGTAAGAGATGCCTGTAGAAGTGGAAATCTTGCAGCACATCATGCAGACAATGTTTAAATAACAGTTTATTGTATATCTACTTGAAAATCAATAGGTTTCAGATTTCTGCTAGGAAAATAGGATTAATACACAAGATCAATAATAAAGTAACTAATTATGTTGACGTGACTGGCACACTTAGTTACCAACTGGCAGAGGTGGATGAAGTACTCAGAAATTGTACTTTAGTAAAAGTGAAAAGCTACTGGCTGACATTCTCACAAAAGCTCTGGCTAGCTCTGTGGTCGTTTCACTGACCTACTGATACTCAATGAAAGAGAAGATTAACTAAAGAAAAGTCAAACTCAAAAAGTCATGGTCATAGATGCTGTGACTGATCTCTGATGTTTTCCTCAGCTTTAATGTCACGGCTGAGGAGGTGGGTGTTGTTGTGATGGAACCTTTGCTTCCGAACTTGTCATGTCATGTCTGAGGGAAAATGTCAACAGGTGTGAACATTGCAAGTGATTTTGTCTGCACAAGTTTATAGAGAGCTTCAGCACTTGTGAGCTAAAGTAGACAGTCCCAGTAGCACTGGCCAGACAATGTATTTACTGTATATATAACTGTATGTAATAGAGTTGTTGAAGGTTGGATTGAACAATTGATATACTTAAGTTTGAACACTGGTCTTATTATGATGATTTATGCATATTCAATTTTGTGAGTACTTCCTCCACACTCAGTGTGATTAAAAATGGGCATGTTTAGTGTTGTATTGGTCTTTTACTACGTTTCGCAGTGGCCACAGTTTCACCTAGGCTACTTAGACATATAGAGTTATTGCTGGACAAAACCTGGTTAAATTTCCGCCACATTTAAATCAAATTACAAATTTCCCAAAATGTCAGAATACTTCTCTGAAATGACACAGCTCAGTCCATCTGGTGTCATCACAATCCAGTGAGAGGTGTCTGATTCATGTTTATTAGACAACCAAAAGACAGTGGCTGTGGCTTAGAAGGTAGAGCAGATTGTCCACTAATCGTTTGTGTTGGCCTGTGTCATAACTGTATGAATGGTTAATGTGACGTGTAGTGTAGACACTTTGAGTGGTCAGAAGACAAGAAAAGATATATAAGTACAGTCCATTTACCATTTAAGTCGCAGTGTTTTTTGTTACATTAGCAGAGAGATTTCCTGTGTTTCCTATATACCTGCAGCCCCCTGGTGGACAGGTTCCCCATAGACACTGCCAGTGTCAGGAAGCCCAGCAGGACCACACCCGTCTCCCCGCACTGTTCCCATGACCACAACCTCATCCTGGTTAATCAGAGAAAGAGATAAAGAAGTAAAGACAGGTTTAATATGCGCACAACAAAAAAAGAAATATCTGGTGAACTGAACCTAGACCAGTTCCACCAGGCACTGTTCTGTAACTGACCTCTGACCTTTGTGAAGAGTGTATAAAGCATATAGTTATGAAAGATTAATAAAACATCTCTGCTGTCTTAGGAAACCCTTCTCAATGTGTGGTAATAAAATACTAAAACCTTTGAGAAAACTGTTGGGGAAATGTGAAGGTACACTGTAGCCTACTGCCTAAATCTGCCTTGTGTCCTGTTTGTGATGATAGACAATCAACTGCCAGAAATCAGCAACCTCTCAACCACTCAACACCCAGACCAGATCATACACGTGACAGTTTTCACCAAACACAAAGCAGCCAATGTTTTGATTAATGGAGGGAATTTCAGCCAGAAATCTGTCTGTTTCTAGAAGGAAGTACCCAGTGATGAGTCTAACAAAGGCTGAAGGGTATGAAGGGAAATATCATAACCACTAATGAGTTCTCGTGGCATTAAAAACCCACGTCCAAGCACTTATGTGAATTGTAGATAAAAGCATACTGCTGAGACGTGTGGGTGTTTTTTTCATGTCTTTTCCCTCTCCAAATTGAGGCCTTTCAGCTTCCAAACCCACAGAAAAGCCTGAAGTTGGATTTTTTTACGCCACGAGAACACATTTGTGGTCTTAATATTTCCTTTCTTACTCTCCAGTGAAATCCCTCTCCCCCAAAGAACATCTGTGGTTGTTTAAGGGGGATACCTGAAGTGCTGCTCCTGTCTTTTACCTTTGCACAGAGAGGAGAGTGTTTGACAGTAAATCCTGTCAGTGTGTACAGAGACTATTTACAGCACAAAATGGACACACATCCAACACTTAATGAGGTGCAGAGAGCAAAGTTGCTGTACCTCACTGATTTTGCAGCAGAAATTTATCTTGATGGCCTGATGAGAGCAGAATCCAACCCATTTTCACATTTGACAATTCAAAAATAGATGAAAAACAAACTGAACTTAATATTTTGGGAAATACACATATTTGCTTTCTGTCCAAGATTTAGATGAGAAGATTGTTATCACTCATGTCATGTGCAGTATGGAGCTTGAGTCAGGACATGGTTACCTAGCTTAGCATAAAGACTGGAAACAGCGAGCCAGACTCTGTAAATAGTTCAAAAACACGCATACAAACACATCTAAAGTTTTACCTTGTTTGTTTGATTGTTCCTGATCCCTCGAGCTGTTTCTTCTTACCCTTCATACCGAGTCTCCCTACAGGGATTCTTCCTTTGTCTAACAGCGTCCTAAATGCACTTTTGTAAACAGTGTTTATAAGTGTTTATAAAGGTCCGGTCTGACTCATATTATTGTATTGGAGTCGTATCTTGTGAGTGCATATAAAGCTGGTAGCTGAAAGATGTTCTGGATTACAGCATCAGGTAAACTCTGCTACAAATGTAACCCAGTATGTACTGTCGGGTTTCCAAGCACGTCAGAGAAACGCTTGCGAAACAACAGCACGGCAAGTGAAGGGCATTTTCTCAGACAATGCACACTCACGCCAAAACCAGCGTGCCGGCTACAGGTATTTGAATGTGCTGGCAGTCCATGGCGGGCTGGCGCTGGCATGTGGAGGGTGACACAGACAGGCTGTTGAGAGGCCACAGGTGTTGGAGACAGGAGTTGGACAGTGGAGGGGCCTGTGTAAAAGTTAAACAAGCCCCAATGTGCTGGAAGGACGAAGGTAAGTTTCCTAGAACTTTACACAGGTAGGCCTTTGTTTGGCTCTTCAGACTATAAGGAAATGTAGATGTCTGTATGTAAAGGATAACATGAACAGGCACAGACACACAGGGTACTTCAAGTACCCTCCTTTTCCTGTGGAGGGTAGTTGTATATACAAGTTTAATGACTCAATGAAGCCTTTGATTTGAAAGTAATACTGAACCAAAAACCTATGTTTAGAGAGACACTTATAGCAGTCTGCAGAATGGCAGCACTGAAAAGCTTGTATCTTGCTCCTTTGTGGATGCTTGGATTTACAGTTTCATTGCCAAAAAATAAATACAGAAATCTAAAAAAAGACGTTCCATAGAAACTTCTCAAAATACTCTTAATGATAATTAATAATAAAATGTTCTTTTGTCAACTTGTATGATCACTATGTGAAAACACAGCTCATGATCACCGTTTATCGTATTGTACTGTAATATTTCTAAATATACCATTTACTATAGTACAGTTAATTATTATAGCTAATTATTAGTACTAAGCGACAAACAAAAATGCTTTTGTCACATTTACATTAACTATAAATATATATTAAATACAAAAATATATCTGAGTAGGGAACATACTAAGCATAAAAATTAATACTGGAGAAGTTCATCTTGCTATAGGGGTAATTTGAGAACTTTCGAACTTTGTAGGGGCCTTTCAACACTGCAGTTGAAAAGTTTAGTAGGTAAAAGATTATTCTGTTTATTTTTCAGTGGAGTATTCCTTTACAGTGCACCTGCATGCACACAAATACATTATATATACATTATATTATATTACATTATATATACAGACACATATGCCTACATACTGTCTTAATGTATTCAGTAATTCATACATAGACATGCATTTTCATGTATTGACAAACACTCAACCCCCTATGAACTGTCAGCTTGGTCTTGTGTTGCTTTTGCCAAAACTTAAAATAATGAAATTGGGTTTATTCCTCAACAAATGCTAGTGGCATTTTTTGCAAATTTGATGAAATAAGAAAATGCAATTTTTGGAAAATATTCAACCTTTTGAGCCAAAACAGGGCAACACTCGTCAGCAAAACCCAGGGGAGCTTAATGATTTCTGGAGGCTCTGTGCTGCACATATGTTCACATATACTTATACACACACACACACACACACACACACACAGACAGAGCTTCTAGAAAAGGATTCATAGTACATCCCGTGTCCTCAGGTCCAGTTAGGCAGCCTTGTTAAAATAAGCAAACAGCTCGTCTCGCCCTGTTTGCAGTCTGGCTTTCTCTGGCACTAAATATTGGTGACAGGTGTCTTAAAGCAGGCGCAGCAGCACCTGGACTTCATTATCCAACCAGACACAGCTGGAGTCCGGCCAGCTGCCATACACACACACACTAACAGACACACACACACTCACAGACACAGCTGCACATGTGTATACACTCAGCCAGTGGCGTGACTGAGTACACACACACACGTGTTGCCCACCGTGCACGCTCATACTCAAGCCTGAGCCATGTGCACAGGTATGCAAATGCCCTAGCCTGAATGTACACACTCAAAAACGAACACAGTCACAGACTTTCTCATACTCATACTAGTGGCTCACACAGACACAGAGGTCTCTGCTGCTTACATATGTACCGGTATACACATTTTACGGCAATACTTGAGAGGACCATCAATGCATTGATTGATACAATATAATGCTTTCCCTATTCCATAACCCTAACATTTGTCATCACAGCTACTTTAACAGTGATCTAAACCTGAGTTCAAACCATGACCTAAAAATAAGCTGTTGCTCTCAAATAGCCCCTCAACAGTGTGGACTGGCCAAAATGTCTACAATGTCCACAATTTTTTCAATCCAACTCATTTTACCACTTGGCTGAAATATATTCATTGTTTACACCATGTTCTCACTTTGCCAAAACATCCTAACTTCACTCCGGTGTCCTCATTTTGGTCAGTTTTCCCCAGTTTTGCCAGTGTCCTCATTTCGCTGAATCACTGTCATTTTGTCTGAATGTCCTCACTATACAACGATGCCATCAGTTTCGACAATGTCTTGACTTTGCCAAAATAACCTCATCTTGGTACAATGTCCTCAGTTTGCCAGAAAGTTCTCATTTGGTTGAAACTTTCTTACTTGACCACAGTGTCCTCACTTTGGTCAACTATCCTCATTTTGCCATAATGTCTTTACTTTGCAAGAATGGCCGCAGTTTACCAGAATGTCCACACTTTATTACTATGTCCTCATTTTGGCAAAGTGAAGACATGTCTTCAACTGGAAACATCCTGACATGGCCACAATATCCTAACCAAACATAATCTGGTCCTCATAGATAGAGTCCACACATACAGAAGCTCATGCGCCCATTGAGAAACACGCCCAAACATCCAGAATCTTTCCATCTCATGCTCTCTATGGGTCTTTCTGGCTAACACACACTAACATACACACACAAGAATCGGCCTGTTGCCTCTTGCTCATCCAGACAGAGTCTTCCTCCTTCCTCCTCCTCTTTGCTGTCGTTTCCCAGCCAGCCGGGCACGGCAGGCACAGAGGACGAAAGTAAACACAGTCCTCTCATCCTCTCTTTCTCCCCCTCCCTCACCCCTGTGCCGTCCCCACCCTGACGGCCCCCTGGGGCCCCTCGCCTCGCTGTCTTGTTTTTGTAGCGCTGGCAGCCTCAGCAGACAGACAGACAGCAGTAGTCTGTCCCCTGGGAGCCTGGACTGGAGCAGAGCAGTCAGACCGATATATCAGACCAATACTGGACTTTTATTATCTAATACTGGATATCAGCCAGGCACTGTTGGTTATCTGTAATGTGAATATCATACAATTTAAATGAAAATGTTTTACAGGTTTAGAATAAGGTAGCGCTGAAATGATGAGTCGATAATTCAGTCAGTAGACTGACAGACAATTAATCAACTTTAATGATCGATTGTTTTATTGGAACAAAATGCATATGGATGGATATGGACACTGGGGACATTAGTGTGGCTTTCTTAAGATGGAAATGGGATCTAGAAGTGACGGAAAATAAGAAGATGTCTTGCACATGTAACAAATCCAAATAACCATTTCTTAATAAACTAACTGTGAGGATAAGGGGCGGTCGACACTCCATCTCTTTCCCAAGCGTTTACTGTCCATACCCATAAAGAAGGCCACAATGCTACGCTCTCATCCATTGTAAGTTGCCAGACACTGTAGTTAGTGCTGTGCAGCAAGCACAATGGTCCACATTAACTGATTGATTGCTGCTGTTTAAAAAGAAAGAAACCTGAGTTCACTACAGACTGCTTTTAATATTGCTAGTACACATACAGTATCGTGACAGCATTTATTCCTGAAGAGGGAACAATGAGATTCTCTTACCACAGTTTAACCAGCATACGTCAGCATGTTTGTTTACATATTTCCTAAGTCAGACTTCTATACTTTTGCTCACTGAGAAGCAGATAAAGAAATATTGATATAATGTTCCCATATCTGTAGACTAGACCACATACCTTTGGCAAACTAGTGTACACTGTCCATAACCATAAAGGAGACCACACTGCTACGCTCTTATCCATTGTGAGTTGCCAGACACTGTAGTTAATCCACATTAATATTGAAATAAATAAAGAAATATTGATATCACGTTCTCATGAGACCTGGACCAAAGAATATTAGTCTGTAGACTTGACCACAAACCAATCATCAACAAGAGGTCATCACAGCTGAGGGCTGCAATGGTAAATGTACTGTATTTATATAGCCCTTTTATCCAAGGCACTTTACGATTAACCTCTCATTCCTACATTACCATACACAATTTGGGGTTCAGTGTCTTGCCAAAGGACATGTGGACAGGAGGAGCCAGGGGTCGCAACCCAACCCTGAGACAAGAGGATGACCTGCTCTACCTGAGCTT